CCCCCCCCCCCCCCCCCCCCAAACTATTGTCGTAGGGACGGCAGGGCCATTGCCACAACCTCCCGTGACCTGGGGCAGGTCAGCAGCAGCCAGAGGGGCTGGCCAGGGGGGACCCCTCTCTCACCAGGGGGCTGGGATCCGCCTGGGAGAAGATGTACCGCAGGAAGACCCCCAAGTGAGCCGGCCGGGATTTCAGCTTCCCCAGGTCCTGGAAGAGGCTGTCACACTGTGCAGGGAGGGAAAGTGAAAGATACTTGAGCTGGCAAGAGGCCTGAGGCACACAGCCAGCCCCAGGAAGGGCTCCCTTGAGTTGCAGCATGCCAAATCCCCAGCTTCTTCCTCCCTCTGCTGGTGACACTGCCGCAGCTCAGAGCCCAGTGGGAGGCACCCCAGCCACAACCCTCCCAGTCTAGCCAGCCCTGGGGCCATCGTAGCCGCTCTGCCTACCCTGGCCTGCCATTTGGGGCAGTACTCAATGCAGATAAGGGCTACAGGGGAAGGACAAGGACTCTCTTTCCTGAATGCAAGGCCTCGTATGAGATGGCAGCACACACAGAGTAACGTGCTGAGACATGGTGGGGGCACCTGGGTCAACACAGAGGACAAGTGCATGAGGCAGCTGCCCTCGGTCGCTGGACTGCCCCGCCAGCTGGACAGCTGGCAGCGGTTAGCTGCAGCATGGTAGAGCTCAACACGGGCTGGTTCCCCTAGCCAAGATGAGGCCCCCACAGATCTCTGCTTGTGTCTGCAGGGCTGCCAGCAGGGCGCCTGGCCACCAACACGGGGGGCAGGAGGTGGGATCTGCGAACACATTGCGCCACCCCTGAGTGGCCGCTGGGACAGAACATGGAGGTGGGAATGTCTCGGGAGCCGCTACCTCGTTGTTGAAATAGCCTGGGTCATAATCCTCCTCGGGGCCAATGATGAGAGGCCGCAGTGTCCGGTCTGAGCCCTGGAGGAGACAGAAGCAGGATGGGACCAGGAAGTTGTCCCATTCGGTGGTCCAGAGGGGAGGGCATCTCACACCGCCACTTGCAGCATGGTGCCATCGTGGGTCATGAGGGCCAGGCATGACCTAGAGGGCACAGAACGCCCTCCCCAGTTGCCCAACTCATCTCCGGCAGCTGGCCTGACCCAGGCCCACCTGGAAGAGCAGAAGGGAGTGCGCTCCCCCATGCTTCTGCCCTAGTCCCACCTGCTCTGTGGAGGGTGCGAAGGGCGTATCTGAGCCCTGCCGGCGGTGATGCTGGAACATCTTGGAGGTGATGATGGGAGACGTTCGCGGGCTGTCGAGGCCGGGGTCGGACAGGACTGAGTTGCGGTTCAGGGAGATCTGCTCGGGATGAGAGCATCAAGGGGGCGACGGCGTGATCAGGGAGGGGGCAGGTGCCAGAGGATGACTCAGCTGGTCTGAAATGAAGGCCTCCCCCTCTTGCTCCCTGCCCCACTACTATTGCAGGACCCCTCCTCCAGACCTACCCAGTGTAAAAGTACTGGCACCAATTGGACAGACAGTCCAATTGGTGCCAACTCAGCTCCTGGCCTGTCTTCATTGCTGTCTCCACACTTGGGGGTTTTCCCCCACGCCTCTGTGCCAGGCACCCTCTTACAAGCCTCCTTCCACCTCTACTCCCCCCATAAGTGGTACCCAGCAGGCTTCGCTCTCTGGCCTCTGCTGCTTGCTGGGCTTGACTGCTCTATAACCCCAGGGTGGAGTTTGAGGCCCCTTGCAAATGCCCAGACAAGAGTGAGGCTTTCCAATGCACCCAGATCAGAGGACCTGTGCTGACTGGGGAAGCAGAGCTTGGCTCCTCTGAGAGCATGATGCTGAGGAGCCAGGGATGCAAGTCAGTAACTGAAGGCATCCCTGGGACATGGCAGCGATGCCATATGAGCACAAGGAGCCTGGGAAACTCTGAGTTAGAGCTATGATCAGAGTTGTCCAGCACATCCGAGGGAAGAAAGGCAGAGCCAAGGCACCCAATCCCCCTCAGCTCTGCCCTGCGGAGCCAGGACCCAGCTGGCCCATCCTGGGGAGGTATTTCCAGGTCCATGAACTGCCCCCGGCTGCACCAATTCCAACGGGCACATCCATTTTCCCAGGGTCCTGCTCCTCAGGGGACTGCCAGCCTCCACGCAAGGGCTGCATGTGTGTGCAGGGGAAACCAGGTTGGCTTACAAAACCCAAGGCACAAATTCAAAGACTTTAGCCACGGAGCTGTGACCCACCCCCTGGCAGCACGGCCCTCACCTCGCTCACCGAGGGGAACCGCTCCGTGCCAGAGTCCAAGCCGCTGTCGCCATCCTGAGAGTCCAGGGAGAGGCGGCCTGGAAAGGAGATGACGCATGAGCAGAGGCAATGGAAGATGAGAGTTGGGTGCTTGAAGACTGGTGGAGAATACAGAGCTGGGCTGATGGTAGGTGGCCTGGGCTCACGCAGCCCCACCGGGACTCCAGCTCTGGGCCCAAGGGGAGGAAGACAGGCTCCCACCATCAAGAGGCGGCTCTAGCTCATGAGAATCCTGGGTAGGGACTGGGACCCTGGACTCCCGAACCCACAGTCTCCCCTTCCTGCCTGCCTGGTCCTGACACCTGGGAGAAACACCGGTAGCCAGTGAGGGGATATGGAGAAGGCAGCTGACACCCAACCAGGCACCCTCTACTCACCTTCTGTGACCTGGAGCCCCGCGGAGCCCGGGTCGCTGCTCAACCGTACACAGTCCTGCAGCGAGAGGACGCACTGGGTCGTCACATCGTTCCCGCCCTGCCGGTGGGGAAACAGGGGCAAAATGGGTGGGCGCCACCCTCGATAGCAGAACCACTTCTCTGATTTCAGGCCCCTTGAGGGAAGGAAGCTGCAGGGCACAGCGAGCAGGGAGCAGACCCTGGCAGGGGTCCAGAGCATGGGTCACCACCCAAGAGAACAGCCCAGCCCAGCTGAACTGGTGTCCTCTTCCCTGCAGCCAGCCTGGCCTTCAGCCTAATACCCAGCCAGCCGCGATGCTCTCTGGAGACTTAAATTGCAGGACCAGGAGAGGCATTCGGTCCTGCAGCTGTTCGCAGGCAGCCCCTGAACCCATGGATACCACAGGAGGCACAAAGCCAGCGACACCAAGAAGACCCCACAGGGAAAGCAGAGGGGATGCGGGGGGGGGGCAGCAGCTGGGACCCTGGGGAGCAGTCCTGGCTCTGCTCCCACTTCAGCATGTGCTGGGGGGGGTTGAATGCAAAATCATAGTGTTTTGTCCATTGCCCGCCGCTGCCTACCACCAAGCTGCCAGTTTCCTGGAGGATCTTGAGCTGCAGCTGGCTGACCCGGCGGCGGGCGCCCTCGATCTGACCCTCCAGCCCGGTGGCTGGGCGCCGGCTGTACACCTCGCAGAAGCGCTGGGCAGGAGACAAAGAAGAGTGGGCCACAGACATGTGAGGAGAGCGTGCGACTGCGCAGGCAGTGGGGAGCTCTGCTTGGTGGCCTGGGAGAGCTTCGCCGAGTGAGGGCATGGGGCTGGCAACAGCGGCAGGGTGGGGAGGAAGAAAGTACAGTCCCTCAGCCCACGCGCCATAAAAGCAGCTGCTTGCAGTGGCTCATCCTCTGAACCCCCAGCCAAGCCACAGACAGATGCAGGAGCCTGGGAGCGATGGCACAAATGTCTGATCAGGTGCAGCAGGCTGGGGATGGGGTTACAAGCAGAGATGGACCCCAAAGCTGTGCTGCGGCAGGCACAACATTGGAGGAGACACCCGCCCATCGCCCCTGGGGCCTTGGGGAAGCGCCATCGTACCTGTAACTCAGCCTCCTCCTGTCGCAGCATGTTTCGGAGGATCTGGGCTGCGTGCTTCTGGACCTCTGGATCCTGCAAGTCAAAATGGGCACCAGTCAAGTGGGACCGAGACGGGCAGAGCTCTGGTTTCCCCTTCCCGTCCTCTCCTCTGCCAGGCCCACAGCAGGGTAGCCCAGGCAGGGTGTAGCAGGCTAGCAACACCCCTTTCCCACTCCCTCCTTGGCCCATGGTTACCTGCAGTGGCTTGGGTCCAGTGATGCGCTGGGGCGGAGGTAACGGTGGTGGCGGGGGAGGCGGCGGGGGGTGTGTGGGCATGACCCGGGGAGCCCCTGACGAGCTGGCGTCTTGCTGGGAGTTGGAGAGTCCCACTGAGGAGGGGGGGGAGCCTAGGAGGGTCAGTGCGACGTAGGCGCCGGCTGGGGAAGAGGAGCAAGACAAGGACAGTGCAGTGATGAGATGGCTGAGAATGGGAGATCCTTCTGTGCCCCCACCCCAGCGTGGCAGGGCTGTAGGTTAATCCAAGGCCAAAGGGATGCCTGTGGGGGTAGAGCAGGGGCATCCAGGAGGGCTTAGCCATCCAGCTCCAGGTCAGGGATCTGGGACAAGCTGGGTGATCTTGCCCCTTGACTTAGCTCTCCCATGCTGCAGGGCCTTACTGTCTCTCCCCAGGAGCAGACCAGCAGCTTGCTAACACGCCTGCTAGCAGACGAGGGCTGTGGCCATGCTCACAGCAGTCTGTGGAGCTGGCTACCCACAGAAGCTGCCATGTGGCCGGGATTGCTTCTGTGCTGGGGCCCTGAAGCACACGTTCCCAGCAGCTCAGTGACTGCCTACTGCCACTGTTGGAGCGCCTGCAGGCCCCAGGCAAGATTGGAGCTAGTGCTGCGAGTCCCAGGCTGGCGGTAGGAGATAAGAACACGTGGTCCAGGAGATAAGGTGGGCCAGGAGTGGGCAGGGACTTGGGAGCAGGGAACTAGGAAGTGATTCACCCCAAGGTCACATAGCAGCTCAATGGCAGAGCTGAGATTATAGCCTATGCATCCTGGCTCCCAGGCTCAGCCTGAAATGCAGGTGCATGGGGAGACGGCACAGCCACGGCCACCCCCTGCTCATCCTCTGCCACCCTGGCGGGTCCCTTTGCTCTGGAGGGGAGCAGGGAGCTCCATCTGCCTACCCTGTCCCTACATACCCATGACAAGCCCCCTGCCTGCCCAAAGCCAGCCCTGGTGGCTCACACCAGCCAACAGCCTTCTGGTGCTAGTGCCCAGGGCTGGACTCGAACCACCAACCCAGGGGGTACACAGCTCCATCAATCTGCCTCCCATTACCCTACTCACATTTGATAAGCTTCACCACTTCGAGGTGCGAGCTGTTGGTTACCATTGTGCCGTTCACCTGAGACAGGAGAGAGGCATGAGCCAGGCCCACAGCCCCGGGGGTGTCAGCCCGGGCATGACAGGACTGGGAGGTCGTGCTCACCTTGACAATGCGGTCCCCTTCCTGCACACCCGCCCTCATGGCTGCTCCTCCTGCAAGGCAATGAGGACAGAGTCAGGCCTGTCCTGGCAGCTGGGAGGGGGCTGCAGGCAACAGCGTGACAGGTCCAGTTGCTGGGGGTGGCAGAGTCTGCAACTCAGGGGTCAGCAAAAGAAAGGAGGTCCAGCTCTGTAACATGCAGTAGATGCAACTGGGTCCCTCCCAGGTCAGTGCTAGTCTGCTTCACAGTTGCATGCAACGCTCCCTCCACGGGGTACAGCACTGTGCTATCAGCATCTGGTCCAACAGGGCCCTGATCCTGCAAACTTCAAGGTGACCCCAAACCGCAGAGGGAAAAGAAGCCACTGACCTGCTTGGAGGGGCTGTGCCCCACCAACCACTGCCCAGCACCATGGGACAGAGGTGAGTGCAAAGCAAATGACCCAGTGCTTGCTCCGAACGCAGCTGGAGACCAAAGCACCTGAGGCAGCCAGCCCCGGTTCCCACAAGGCCTTTATTCAGTCCATGGGGCTGCTCAGCAAGGAGCAGCAACATGACATGCAGAGCCACAGTCAGAAGCCCTAGAGCACTGCCCAAAGGCCATGTGTCCTTACAGAAGCCCCCGGATCCCAAAGAGCACTGACAGGAAGCACCTGCCTGCATTCAGGCAGGTGTCAGAACAGGACCTGCACAGATCCGGTTTCAAGAGCAGAGCCCAAGCACTAGAGAAACAGGGCTGGCAGGGCCCAAACCCATCTTGTCCAGCCTCCAGCCCTCACCAAACCGTCCCGGCCATGCATGCATCCACCCTGGGCTGGAAAGCTTCTGAGCATGGAGATCCCCGAATCTCTCGTGGGTCTGTTCCAGCCCTCAATTCTCTTTGGGTGGAGAAAACTCTTCCTCGGACCCAATCACCACCACCAGCAATATTCACACCCCTCCTTTCTTCAATGAAGCTGTTAAGGTTTAGCTGCACTGAAGAATTCTCTTTCGTGAAAGCCAAACCCAAGAGACCTGTTTCTGTGAGGGGAAGCTCCAGATGGAGAAAACTGGAGAGAAATAAAGAGGCCGAAGGTGGAAAGAGCATGGGATAACTCAGGCTCCAGGGGCTCCGACGCACTGGTGCTGCCTGAGCCCAGAGTGGCCATGGGGGGGCACTGCAGAGAGGCTGCAAGCTGCAGCCATGCATGGGTCAGGGGGTGAGAGGAAAGGAGGTTTCGTTTATTAAATGCCTGGTCCGGGCCGCAGACGCTGGCTGCATGCAGGCAGGGCCAGGCTCCAAGCAGAGGACAGGACTGGGCCTTCCCAGACCTACAGGATCTCTGTCCATGCCCCTCCACACAACCGAATTCTCCCCGGCCTGCGTGTCATCCGGGGGGGGGGGTCATTTGGCAATAACAGCGGCTCATTGTGTATTTGAACGGAGACTCAAAGCCCTGCCACCCTGCAAAGCCATTAGACAGCAAAACCAAGAGTGCCTGCCCCACCCCCCACACAGCCGGGAGCAAAAGCCGCCGGGTCCAAAAGCTGCTGAATTGGTGTTTGCCGAGGGCTGCACAGGGAATTCCCCGCCCCCCCTCGCCCGCCGTCAGCAGCTTGCTGCGATTATATAACCGGCGGGCAGTGCGGCGCAGTTAACCTGTCGCTGCCTGTAGGGCAGAGAAGGAGTGGGGGGTGGGGATGGGAACTCAGCTGCTGTGCTGGGGAGCAGACAACTATGGGCAACTCCCAGCCTGGACTAGTGGGGATATAGGAAGCTCTGTTCCAGAGCCAACCCCCACAAATGACCTTATTTGCACCCATCAACCCTGCCCTCCTCACCCCAACCTCCCACCCACCCACCACAGGGTCCCAATCTCATCCAACAGGCCACACACTCTTCCCACCCATCACGGGGTCAGAGCAAACGAGGGGAGCCCCAGCTGCACGCAACTGCTTCTGCCCCAAAGAGGTGAGGGGGACATGGATGGCACCCACCTGGCCGCACACTCTGCACCAGGACAATCCGGTCCCCGCTGACCGTGAAGCCGAAGCCATGCTCGTCCTTCTGGATAATGACACAGCGCTGGACCAAGCCTGTGGGTGCAGAGGGAAGGAAAAGCAAGGGAGCATGGAGTTAAATCCATGCTCCGTGTTGGCCCAGGGTACAGTGTCCTGGTGGGCTGGGGTCATTGGAGCTGGGGGTGGGGGGGGCGGTCTGCTGTGAGATGGGGTGTTGCTTCTCCCCACACTGTGCACACAGGCACATGCAACACAAGTGAGGCTTGGTGACCCCCACTCCCATGAAAGCTTCAGCTCCTGGTAAGAACAGGCCAAAGGGCTACCCAAACATGGCTGGTGTCTGCAGCTGACAGTGCTGGGTCTAGTGCCGCATCCAGCCACTGTCGATAACCCGGCCTGAATGACCAGGTACCTGTCAACAGCCAGGGGCAGCCTTTTCCACAAGGGGTCCCGACACAGGGTCTGGGGCAGGGCATCACGCTGGAGACCCAATTAGGGCCCCTCCTCTTGCACAGGCTCCCTAAATGGCCTTGGTCATGGCGCTTTGCCTCTAGGCTCCCCAGGAGTGATAGCACTGCCCTGCCTCATCTCACGGGAGTGTCACAGAGACAGGACTCCCCAGGGACAGGCTGACAGGGTGGGAAAAACCCGGGATGACATGTTCAGAGCCCCAACCCGTGGGGACAGCAGGCGGGCAGAGTTACCTGTTGTTTCGGTGGAGTCGGACGGCTGGCGGTGATGGCCGGGAGACCTGCGTTCTGGAGCTGAATCTCCCAGAGAAGACAGGCTGCTCAACCTGGAGGGGGCAAGACAGACGTCATCATGGAGGGCCCGTGACGAACAGGGCTCTCCTTCCGCTTGCTCGAGACACCCCCACCTCACACAGGAAGTGGCAAACCGCAGCACCAGCCTGCGGTAGACTGAAAGCGAGCACAGGCTGCGCGCTTCCCCAGCAGATTGGAGCAAGGCTGGGCACCAGGAGTACCCCGGCCCAGGCCTGGGGAGAGCATTGGGCACCCCCCATGCCACGACATGGAGCCACCGAGGTCTGTACGGGAGGGATGAGCAGGGGGAGAAGCGATGCAAGGTCCACGGTGTGAGCACAGCGAGAGTGACAAACAGATACACACACACATACATACGCCAGCCGGACGCCCGGCACCAGAGCTTACCAGGCTGCAATGGGGCTGATGGAAGAACACGAAGCAGCGAGGGATGGATGAGAGAAAGACAGACAGACAACGGACAGTTACTTTCACCCCCTGCCCCTCCCACCCCAACCTTTGCTATCCTAGTCCAGCGCTCTGCAGGCACTGGCCAAGTCTGGGGGCAAGAAGGGAGCTCGGCCCCATGCAAGGGCTCCCGGGGGCGGCGGGGCGTGTTGTGTGCAGTCAGGCCCTGCCCAGCAGCAACCAAGTCCCAACAACCTCGCCTGTGCAGGGGACCACACAGCCAGCACCTGCAACTGCTCCTTGGACCGAGGCCGCCTTCCCACAGCAGAGCTGGCCGGAGCGACGGCCGTGGGGAGCGCTGGTGCCGGCAGCTGAGAGGTGATGCCAACTCAAGCTGCAGCTCCCAGACGGCGTGTGCACTCAAGACGGGCTCTTGGCCTCCAGTGCTGGGCCTGGACCTAACAGCCTGTCGCCTCCCTCTGTGCCACTCAGTCCCATCCTGCACCCAGGGCCTAGATGTACTCTCCCCCTGGCAGCCAGCCTGCCCTCCAACCCAGGGCTGAGGGACACGGGATGCTCACGGAGACCCGAATGCCCTTTGAAGCGATCTGCTTCCCTTTGAAAACCCAGAGTCTCCAACACAGCCGGTGGGAGCACAAGGAAATGGCCCTGCTCCCCCCCTTTTTCCCAGACCCCTCTTACCTGGGCAGGTGAGGGTGCTTTTTACTGGCTGGTCTGTTGTCCAGGAGGGACGACAGAAATGGACACCCAAGACAAGGACGGTGCAAGATCCCAAGGTCAGCATTGTGGGGTGAGAGGGGGGAGAGAGGAGATAAAGGCATCAAGAGGCAGATGTGAGCAGGCGCTGCAGCTGCTGGCGCACCAGGGGAAGGAAGGGGAGCAGGGTTTGGAGCCCGAGCACCTCTCCGCTCTACCCCTCCCCACAGGACCCAAAAGGGGCAGAGGAGCCAGGGCCCCGATCGGGCAGTTCCTTCCCAAGTGCAAGGGGAACCCTCAACCCTGGCCCCCGCTGCCAGAAACGACGGGGGCCAGATGCACATCTGCGAGGAACTGCCCCTGCCACGCTCACTGCACCCAGCGGCCCAATGTGCCCAGCTGCCTTCAGAGCATCGCGAGGCCCCAATCCTGCAGGAACGTGCTGCAGGTTAACAGGTGGCAAGGAGCGCTGCTGAGTCGCTGGCCCGATGAAGTTAAGCACATGCAGGATCAGGGCCAAAGCCCTCCTGAGCTCTAAAAGCCTCAAAACTCTGCGTCTCCAAAGCAGCTTCTCCGAGCCCCTTGCAGCAGGTGGCAAGGAACTGGGCTTGGGCTGGGGGCCGGGGCTGTGCAAGGACCAGGCTGGCTGGGTAGCGAGGCAGCCTGTGCGGCTGATACCCTGGCCACCAGCTCAGCGGCAGAGCAGTGGCAAGAGTGAGGCCTCACTGCCGCATGCCCTCAGCAAAGGAGGTGGCCAGGGGAATGCAGCGTGATGCTCCCGGGGCACCATCTGAATGGAGGGGGCAGCTACACGGAGCCGTGGAAGCACCAGCTGTCCTGCAAGAGCCTTCCAGCTGCTGGCGCGTGCAGACACACACACACACGCAGCCCCAGCTGGCAAAGCCGAGCTTCCCACGGGAGTGTGGCAGCCTGATAATACCAGGGAGTCTGGGGACAGCCTGGCCCACCGCACCTGCTGCTCCGAGCAGGCAGTGGGAAAGAACCGAGCGCCTCCTGTCCCATGCCAGCCTTATCTGAGACAAAAGTCCTGTGGCCACTTGTTGTGTGCCCAGACCGCTGCCCCACGGGTGCAGACCAGTGGTGAAGCTGCCCGTGGGTCTGTTCTTGCTCAGAGAGCCCTGGGCTGTGGGGGTCTCTGCTAGAGCAGCTCTCCCAGTACACCCAGACTGTGCCTCCCTGCACCAGATCCCCTCCTCGCCCGTTCCCCATGAGGCCTCCCTCCAAGACAAACTATCTTGTCAGCCACTGACCTGACATATGAGCACGGGTACTGCCTCCCCACCCGCAGAGCCCAGCCTCAGCACCGAGATCTGGCGTTCTCTGACCAGATGCTACTAAACCGCGGGGTCCCGGCTGTCTTATCAGTGCACCCCTTGACATCCTCCTGGCTCCCTTCGCCCAGCCTGTGTTATTGCTCCTGTTCCCCACTGGATGAAGGGCATTGCCAAGCACTAGCGTACCCTGGAGACTTGAACACATCTAATGTCCCTTGGGTCATCCCAGGCTCCACTGTAACCCAGCCAGGGCACCAGGCACCTTGACCCCTTTGCTGATGTATCGGTGCAGAGAAGTACTCCTGCTCCAAGGCTGCGGAGGCCTGGGCTGCTTGCCGGAAGAGCTGGTGCTTTCCAGCTCACCTGGAATCAAGCAGCACAAGCATCTTGAGTGGATGCAAAGGCGCCCATTGCAATCCCCGAGCAGGAAGCATCTTGGCTGGTTGGGGGCACGGCTCTACTGGCATGAAGACAACTGCAGCGGGGGTTACACCAGGTGAATGGGCAGCTTCTCCAGTGCCAAGCTGGCGGGTAAACTGCATCCCCCCCGGCAGGTGTGCGAGACCCTCCTGGAAGATGATCCCGCGCCTGCTGCCGTAAGGTGCAAGGAAATGCAGATAAGGGGCAGAGTCGGCCGATCAGGCCTTGTGGGGCTGGGTCTGCACATGCACACAGGTGCGTGACTACCTCCCTGCAAGCACACCTGCAGAGGACTCGTGCAGGGGGTCTAACCTTAACTCTAACCCAGTCCTGCTCTTTGCAGCCCAACCAGGCAGCTGTCAGCCCTATCCGGGGACTGACAATGTTACAGGAGGTCATGCAGAAGCCAGGGCCCTGGGCACCGGAGCGGTGGGCCAGAACAGCACAATTCAGGGCAGCGCTGGAGCTCGGGGCCCAGGCCGTGCCGGGTGGGGTTTCATACATGGAGTGAAGGATGGTGCGATGCCCCACGGTGGGTTTCCGACGAAGGCCGTGCCAAGCCCAGGCTAAAAAGGCAGGCCACGGAGGACTTGGTCCGCACACCGGGAAGGCGCTGACACCAGCTGTTTGGGTGGCCCCGAGTGAGATGCTGCCCCTCGGTGCCTCAGTTTCCTCCCCCAAGATGCCCTCCTTTGGGAGGGGAGAGCATGGGGTCCCAATCACGGGGGTGGCATTTTGAGGGTGCCATGGGGGTGCACAGGGAGTGCTGCTGTTTTGATTCCAAGTAATTTCTCGTCAGCAGAGAAGCCAAACGAGGCGGATCACTAGGCTGGGAGGGTGGCCGCAGAGCTGGCTGGAGAAGCAGCCGCAGGCTCAGCCCAACACGCCCCAGCAGCTGCCTCTCACCCCGTGTGCCTTCGTGCACTGGGTACCACTGACGCGCCTGCTCGGCCAGGCGGCGTCCCCGGGCGGGGGCCCCCAGCCCAGGCACCACCGGGGAGTCCAGTGCCCACGTCAGCAAGGGCGATTCTTCCTCCCTTCCCCCCCTGCCCAGCCCAAGGGACGGAAAGTCAGCAGCGTAACCCCAGGCTCTGCTGCTCCAGCAGATTTCCAGTACGAGATGCCTCCCTGAAACCACAATTATAGGCCCGAGCGAGGCAGGGAGGGTAATTACCGCCCGTTCCGTCAGCTCAGCAATCCCTTGCCCCTCTCCCTGCCCTCCCCCCACCCCCCTTGGCCAAGTCGGAGCGCGCCGGGTCCATGTGATTGAAGTTTCCATCCGAGTCTAGTGTGTGTGGCTGGGTAGCATGCCTGCCCACGACCCCTGCTCCTCAAAGCACCCCCAGACACAATCCTCATGTCCTGAGGCAGATGGAGAGGCTGATGGAAGAGCTGACTTTGAAGGCAAGGAGGTAGAAAAGCAGACGGGCAGTGCTCGGGGCCATGGTGCCCACACATTCGGAGCCAGTGCCTTTCAGGAAGCACCAGGGATGAGTCAGCACCACCCGACTGGCCGTCTCTGCTGGGGAAATCCCAGGGTGTTGTTCAGGCCTTGTAGCCAAGGCACAAAAGATGCTGGAGCAATGCAAAGAAGAGACAAAGGAAAGGCAACGGCAGACCCCATGTGCCATGCAGGGACCGACTCAGCCCAGCAGCCTGGCATGGCACAACATCGCCATGGACGGCATCCTGCCTGCCACGATGAACTCCCGGTCTTTGGGAACTTGCATCTTTGCTCCATGCCTCTGCTCAGATCCTAACTCCTCACGGTGGGGCTGGTCCTTGCTCTGTGCACATGTAGCCCCTAGCACCCTGGGTCTGGATTGCCATGCGTAGCTATAACTGCCTTAAAAAACCCATGTCCCAAGGGCTCTCCAGCACTACTCAGTCAAGCGCTCATGGGCTTGCAATAGGGTCACTCCGGGGGTCTTCATTCAGCCTCCTCCCCATCACATATGCCGCATGGTGCTGTCTTGCATTGCCTGGGCACGGAGTCCAGGGCAACCCCTGCCTCCTCTTGTCCACGGGGAGTAAGCCTGGGGGGAAGCCATCTCTGGGAGCCATGCCTCACTTGCTGGTGTGCAGCGGGAGAGGAAGGGGCTTGCAGGGGTGGGTCAGGGCAGCTGAGCGCTTCCTTGGAAAACTGCATTTCTCTGCTGCCTCCATCACAGATGGGCAGATAAGAGCCCGGTCAGGTCCCTCCAGCTGACTGCACGTGGAGGGGGTGGCCCTGGAGCAGATGGAGGGTGATCCAGAAAAGCAAGGCCTGTGTAACTGGCATGAGGCCGGGGCACCCTCGGCACTTCCAATCCTCCCCTCTCTCTGCCTCAGCTCCCGACCCCTTCTCACTGGGGGGCAATGACAAAGCCAAAAGGCGTCGTGGGAAAGCCCAGGAGGAAATCAGTCATTTTTGGTGTACACACATGTAGAGGGTCCAACTGAAGCCTGCAGACACAAAAGTCACCTCCCTAATACGAGGGCAACCCCTGGCTAAAAACCGTCTCTGCTCCAAAGCACAAAGGGCCTTGAGTCTTTCAAAGAAAGCATCCTCTGGTTTCAACGTAGGAGGAAAGCCACGCTGTTTTGCCCAGCCCTGCTCCCAGCACCAGGCAAGTCATTTCCTAAAGCAAGTTCACAAAGAAATCCCATCTGGGGCAGGCTCCCGCCCCAGGCACAGTTCAAGTCTGGCGAAGTTAAAGCCACTGAGAGCAGGGACCCGGAGTGGAAATTGTTAGCAATTCCTAACCACAGTGCCCGGCACGGGGAAATCTTCTGCAGACATCCAGAGGCACGAAAAAGTGGAGTTAAGACAGTGGCCAGCATCCAGAACAGAGACACCTGTCAGGCTGCGGCTCAAGGAGGATGTTGCTAATGCCTATAAGACCTTCTTTAATGCCAATCTGGTGCTTTGCAAGAGACAGCCTGGCCCTATCAGCTACAGCAGGCAGCAAGATGCTCCAATACCGGCAAGAGGAACAAGCAGAACCACCTAGCCCCCCAGGTGCTAACCCCCACGCTGGAGAAGGGGTGCTGTCTGGAAAGCGGTGAGAGCAGTGGGCTGGGAGCCAGGAGCCTTGGGGAGCCAAGTGCCTTGAGATGAAAGCCCCGGTGGCCAGCACGGAGCATTCTGCGCTGTTTACAGACAGCTGGCGTGAAGAGCACGGGGCACGCACAAATGCCAGCTCCGAGCTGCCTCGGCAGAGCCGGCCAGGTCCCATTCACACCGAGACGTGCCGCACGTCACGTGCTCGAGCGGGTTTTAAAATAGCAAACCTGACGTGGACTTTTCCGTCCCATTACTCA